TGCAATTACAAATTGTCATTTTTATTCATAATATATATATATATATATATATATATATATATATATAAGCAAATATATGGATATAGATCCGACAGTATGAAAAAATATACGGTAAAAACAAACAAAAAATCCTAATATGCAATTATGCGGTTTTAATGCTAATATAATGTCAACCTCGGACGTTTCGGTCTAGTAGACAATCTTCAGGACATATTCATGAAACATAATTAACATTAGACTATATTCAATTCAAACGTATTCCTAAATAATAATAAAAATCTTAGACGGATTTATGAGGCAGGCATAATATCTATCTCACGCCCGGTGAATACTAGACCCGGCTTCTTTAATATTTCCCCTTTTCTAGCAAGATTAATGCTCGACAAACGTACATATATGTTTTAGATTAAAATAAAATTCTTTTCATTTTTCATTCAAAATACTCTATTTTAGGAATACGTTTTCACAACATCGCCGACGTGACGCCGACGTGACGCCGACGTGATCATATTGAAACGGAACGCTGATTTTGAAAAAATTCAGTTATCTGAAGTTTTATTGTTTTATCGGGATAAAACAATAAAACAAAATACAAAAAATCTAAACAAAAATTTTAAAAAAATAATGAACAGACAAATATAAGTAAATGTAATAATAATAATCAACAACAAATAATTATCTGTCTATATCTCTGAAATGAGGTATTAAGATTACATTATTCGGACTGTTATTCTCAACTTCAGTGCCATATTCACAATATTTATCCACTGGGACATGTCTCTTTGAGGACATCTGTGTATAAATTTTTGGGATTTATAAACTCATACACAGATGTCCTCAATGATACATTGTCCAGCGGAGAACGACGTTGGTTAGATCCAGTGTCTAGACCCAAAGAGTCGTGAGTTCAATACCAAGCCACAGCAGTGGTGAACCAAAAACTTGGAGTGTTAAAGGGTAAAAATTCCAATCACCTGAAGAAGGCCGGACCGTTGTGAGTATAGCAATGAAGATGAGGATAACAGCCCGAATAATTTAAATAATGCAAGTAACAAATAATTAAGTGTTCAATAAGAAATAAGAAATAACACCATTCGTATCCACAATTATTTATACTTAATAGCCACTTGAATAATATAAAACATAATTTATTACAAATAAATGTTATTTAATACAAATAATGTACCACTGACTGGCATATACAAATAGTTGAGCCAAAATAGAACGCATATGTGTTAAAGATTGCGCTTATATATAAAACAGATTGATACTGCTCAATATCTACTTGTACGGGATGTATCAAAAATACATTTATAGAATTTGGTGGCGGATTTCTCAAATGAAAACAAGGACACGGGTGTGTGCTGATACTTGAATCTATCCAACAGCCTGTAGAATTTGTTTTTTTTGTGGTCAGGCGTACCAGCGGATCTCAGTCTTTCTCGATTCATAGTCTGTTGTGCCACAGATCCCGTCTCAGCAAAATGACAATAAATAGCAGCAAACTTTAGATGACTCGGTCTAGAAACGCAATCTGATATAGCTGTGCAGCCTCGCATCCATTATCGTTTGTGCTGTCGTATGTAAAAATAATGTCTGCATATGGATAAACTGCCATTGTTAAACGGAACACTTTTCATCATTTATCACTACACACGCTACATATTGAAAGAGACTAGCCCCAAATGTACACGAATGACAAAGGTAACCAAATCTAAATTTAAGTTTAAAGAAAGTTTAGGGTAAATGGCGCTGTGTTGTCATCTACCCTAAACTTTCTTTAACTTAATAACTCAAAACGAAGAATTTGCAGACATATGTTTATATTGACTTTTGAATTTTTGATACATCATACACACACACACACACACACACACACACACACACACACACACACACACACACATATATATATATATATATATATATATATATATATATATAGGGAATGACCAAGGGAATTCAGAGAAGCATGAATCTATCCAGCTCTTATCTTAAATAACAATTTAAAAGAGACTGTTGGACTAACACAAGGACTGACCAAAATTCATGTTAAAAAACAACAAAAAAAAAACCCCAAAAAAAACAAAACAAAACAAAAACAAAACAAATGAAAACTACAGACAAAATTTCATTTTCTCCATCAAGACATTCATTTTTGTAATTCACTGCTACCAGCAAGCATATTTTTTTTCTCCTGATGATGGCCATGTTGGCCGAAACTAGTCAAGCAATCTAAATGAAATAATAATAAAAACGAAAGAATATTAATATACAACCCAGTGTGTCTGAAGATTTTAACTTTTTAATATTTTTTATTGTTCAATATATATATATATATATATATATATATATATATATATATATATATATATATATATATCAGAGATAGGTTAGTTAATAAAACGAGGAGAAACGAAAGATTACTAATATAATCAGTATGATAAACTATTATTAAAATTAAAAAATTTTCGGACACGCCTATGTCCTTCATGAATGG